TGACTGGGCAATCAATCCCACCACTCCTTTAAGAGTCGCATCCTCTCAACAGCAAAACACATTCTTTCTTCAGGATGGGACTCAGATGCTAGAATCCTAACTAGTGAATACTTATCACATCTGCAGCGGTACTTCTATGCAGATACAAAGTTTCAAAAATTTCTAATGCAGACTCTAAACCAAGTTTACCGTAATAAGTCTCTTGTTTCTGAGCTACGACTTCATGGAAATCATCTTCATCCACTGCTTGCCACGGCCTGCATCACTACTCAAACAGAACACTTCCCTCCAAATGCCAGCAGGTTGACATCCCACCAACATGGATTACATTTGCCCTGGTTTGCTTCTCCAACAGCTCATCAAAACCAAGCAAGTTTGCACAGGCTTACAAGGCTTTTCTCCCACAAACCTAACCGCCGGGACATCCTCATTCTCCAACAGAACAGCAAGCTGAATTATTTTTCACCAGTTACGTTCCCACATGAGCTAACTCAGATGCCCACAGAAGACTTCTCACAAGTAAAACTAAGGCTCTGAGTAAACAGCAAAGACATTTTTAAACACTCCTCATTGAGTACGCACTGCTGTACTTTAGCAGCAAAGCAGTTCTTCTGAAGGCTCCTGAAGTCATGGATCAAGCCAACTTCTGCATTTCGAGATTCTTTAACTTAACCCTCCGCAGTCATGGATTTGTGTCTGTATCCATATTGGTGGGCCTGGGCAAGAACCAAAAATCAACATATTTAAGTTTTTGGTTGCAGCAACCAGGTTCAGAAGTTCCATCCAGTCTCCAAGGCTGACGAGTTCTAAAACTAGTTTTCATTCTAGTTTTCCTCTTCCTTTTCTTCCTTAAGGTTTCATTTGCTTTTACCAACTAAAACTTACAAACAGGCTAACCTACGTGATTAAGTCAGTCTATTACCTCGATGTACTACCTATCACTCAGTACGTAAAAGGGGATTTACAACAAATTGATTTTACAAAGAATTACAGTACAAAGTTATAGTTTACGTTCCTGACCAAGATTCTGCAATGCCTACACTGCCAGCCGATACCCACCCGCAAAAAGCCAGTGTCAGATCTCAAGCCCAGTTTACAGAGACAGCAAGTAGAACTACCATTTTCACACACGCTTTTTTAAAACACCAAACTGCCATTAGAGTTTTTGCAATCACTTTTCAGACCAGTTCGTAAAAAAATAACTATTACAAAATCCCACGCGTTAACAGCAAACACCAGAACATAAACCACAACAGTACACAGGAAAACAATCACAGGCTGTAAGAAACAGCTGAAGACACCACTCCACCAGTATGTTAACACCTGCAGAAGTTAAACACACACAGAGCGAGCCACCAAGCAATACTTCGCGGACGAGGTCTAGCCTACCTTAGCTGCTGTGATGTTCAGCTCCCGCAGCTGAGCCTTCAAGTCAGAGTTCATTTCCAACTCCAGCAGAGCCTAGGAAAGCGAAGTGGCAGAATAATCCATTATAGGCAGCTCAACTTCTATGAACCCTTGAGACCAAAGTCTGCCCAGAGTGCTGGAGAGCAGCTATACGCTTTCTGCCACCGTCAGTACCAAAGACTTAACTTCCCATAAGTCGCACCGACAGACGCAACAAGTTCAGTCGGTGGGAACGCAGGCTGACGGCCCTAGTAAAACTAGGGAAGAGCACACGTTTAGACAGCATTGCCCTCGACGTTTTAGCTCCGGACAACTGTCACAACACGGTCTCCACAACCCGCAGAAGGTTATGGGACAGCAGGAACAGACACGTACCTGGGATATACCCGACTCGAACTCGTCCGGCTTCTCGCCATTCGGCTTCACAATCTTCGCGCTTGAGCTGAACATGGCCGTTCTGCAACGCAAGAGAACGCCTCAGCCACCACCGCCGACCACCGTGCCTCCGGCCCCGC